CATCCACCCTCCAGTTTGATATTCGGACACTGGCAGCTGGAGTGCCCCACGTAAGATTTATTAACCCCGACCCTTGCGACTAAACGCATTTTGGGCAGCAAACCTTGTTAATAAACAAAAGTTCATCATTTTAGCAATTGCAGTTGCATGTGCAGTGGCTTGTTTAGTTGCATTTGCAGTTTTAGCTGCGTTTGCAGTAGCAGTTGCAGTTATATTGGCACGTGCATGTGCACTATTAGATTCATAAGCAGTTACAGTTGCAGTAGAATTTGCATTGGCAGTTGCAATAGCATGTGTTGTTGCAGTTGCAAATAATCTTGTAGTTGCATGTGCAGGTGCACTAGCAATTGCAGTTGTATTTGCAGGAGTAATTTTAGTTGCGTTTGCAGTTGCAGTTTTAGTTTCAATGGAGTTGCAAATTCTAATAAATGTGCAGTTGCAGTTGCAATTGCCGTTGCATGTGCAGTTGCAGTTTCAGCAGCTTGTGCAGTTGCTTTTGCTTATGTTTTTGCAGTAGCAGTAGCAGAAACATGTGCAGTTGCAATTACATATTCATGAGCAGTTGCAGGTGCAATTGCAGTTGCATGTGCAGTTGCAATCTCAGTAACATGTGTAGTTGCAATTAAAGAAGCATTTTCAGTTGCCTGTATATTTAAAATGGCAATTTAATTAACATTTAAAGTAGCAGTTCCATATGCTCTTAAACTTGCAGCTACAGTAGCATATGCAGTGGCAGTTTTAGTAGCGTTTCACGTTGCAGTAGCAGGTGTAGCTGCATGTGCTGTTTCAGTATCAGTTGCATATGCAGTTGCGTTGGCAGTTTCAAGTGCAGTTGCAAAAGATGTTGCATGTGCACTTCTAGTTCTTTTTAAATGGTCAGTTGCATGTGCATTTGCAATTTTATGTTAATGCAAGTATAATTATTTTCATGTGTTGGGGCAGTTATTTATGATCTCGCAGATGCCACAGCAGTGCCATATGCTGTGGCAGTTTTATTAGCGTTTACAGTTGCAGTTGCAGTTTTTCGTGAAAATGGATTTGCAATTAAAGTTTTAGTTGCATGATCCTTTGCAGTAGTAGTTACATTAAAAATTGCAGCAGAAGTAGTAGTTGTAGTGGCAGTTGTATGCTTAGTTACAGGTTCATTTGCAGTAGCAGTTGCAGTTGCAGTAGAAAGTTCATTTGCATTTAAAGTTACAGTTTCTCTTGCAGATCTAGTTGCAGTTACAGTAGCTCTTTTTCGTGCAGATGAAACTTTAGTCGCAGTAACTATTTTTCGTGCAAATGCAGTTAAAGTTGCTGTTGCTTGTGCAATTTTAATTGCAGGTTTAGAAGCAGTAGCTGTAGCAGTTTTAGATGCAATTTCATGCTTAGTCGCAGTTTTTATTGCGGTTGCTCTAGCAAATGCAATTCTGTTGCAGTAACTCTTGCCCGTAAAAACGCAGTTCAAGTGTCAGTTGCCTAAGCAGTTTAAGTTGAAGGTGTAGAAGCAGTAGCAGTAGCAGTTGCAGTTGCAATTGCTTGTGTATTTGCATTTAAAGATGCAGTAGCTCTAGCAGATGCAATTGAGTTGCCGTAACTCTTGCACATTCAAATGCAGTTGCAGTTTATTTTTTTGGGAAGATTAAGCAGTTCGAGTAAAAGCAGTTGCAGTTTCAGCGGCAGTAGCATGCGCAGATACAGCTTTAGTTGCAGTTTTGGTGGAAGTTGCAGTTGCAATTGAAGTGGCAGTAGCAGTAGCAGATGCAGTTACATGTTTAGTGGCAGTTGCTCTAGCAGATGCAGTAGCAGTTGCTGTACCTCTTGCACGTGCAAATCCAGTTGCAGTGTTAGTTGCTTGAGTAGTTGAAGTTGCAGGTGTAGAATTAGTAGCAGTTTAAGTTGCATTAGCATAGCTAGATATAGTTGCAGTAGCAGTTACAGTTTCTTATGCTGAAGCATTTGCAATTAGAGTGTCAATGCAGGTTCCTTTGCAGTTGCAGTTACAGTAGCGAGAGAAGAGGCAGTTTCAGTAGAAGTTTAAATTAAAGTAGCAGTATAAGTTGCAGTGTTTTGTGCAGTTTTAATTGCATGTTTACAAGCACTAGAAGTTGCAGTTGCAGCAGCATGCGCCGATACAGTTGCAGCGGCAGTTACAGTTGCTCTTACAGATGCAGATGCAGTTGCTCGGGCAGATGCAGTGGCATTTGCTGTCTCGTGCAGATGCATTTGCCGTTGCAGTTTAAATTGCGGTAGCTGTAGCAGTTACAATTGCAGTAGCATGTACAGTTGTAGTTTTAGTTTCATGTGCATTCGTAGTTCTAGTTGCAGTTTCAGATGAAGATAACGTTAAACGTGCAGATTCCCTTGCAGTTGCAGTTGCATTTGCAGTAGCATGCGAAAATGCAGTTAAAGTTACAGTTGCAGTTAGAGTAGCACAGGCAGAGGCAGCTGCATTTAAAGTTTAAATTTTAGTGGCAGTAGCAGTGCAGTGTTTTTTGCAGTTTTAGCTGCAGGTGTAGAAGCAGTAGGAGTGCCAGTGGCATTAGCATGCGCAGATGAAGTTGCAGTAGCATGTTTAATTTTAGTTTCAGTTACAGTATCAATAGCAGTAGCAGTAGCTGTAGAATATGCAATAGCACGTAAAGTTGCAGTTACAGTGACAGTTGCTCTAGCAAATGCAATTAATTTGCAGTAACTCTTGCACGTTTAAGTGCAGTTGCAGTGTTAGTTGCTTGAGCAATTTTAGTTGCAGGTTTAAAAGCAGTAGCAGTATTAGTTGCAATAGCATATGCAGATACAGCTGCAGTTGCAATTACAGTGTCAATGACAGTTGAACTTGCAGTAGCAGTAGCAGTACCAGCTGCAGTTGCATGTTTACTTGCAATTGTAATTGCAGTTGATTTAGTAGATGCAGTAGCAGTCGCTGTTAGTTATTCAGGTGCCAATGCAGTTGCAGTGTCATGTGCCTAAGCAGTCTTAGTTGCAAGTGTAGAAGCAGTAGCAGTTTTAATTGCAGTAGCATAAGTAGTAGCGGTTAAAGTAGCAAAGACAGTTTTTAGGCAGATGCAGTAGCAGTGGAAGTGGCAGTTGCACGTTTAGTTTATGTAGAAATAGCGGGTTTTTTAGCAGCTGCAGTTGCAGTTAAAGTAGCAAATGCACTGGCCAGTGCAGTTGCAGTTGCCGTTGTTTTAACAGTTTTAGTTGCAGGTGTAGAAGCAGTAGTAGTTGCTGTTACAGTTTGTCGTGCTGATGCAATTGCAATTGCAGTTGCATTCGCATGTTTCGTTGATGTTAAACTTACAGTGGCAATTGCAGTAGCAGTAGCAGTTGCAGTTGCAGTTCCAGTTGCATGTTTATTTACATTTGCAGTTGCATTTGCAGCTTCAGCGGCAGATGTAGTTTCTGTCACAGTTCCACGTACAAATGCATTTGCAGTTGCAGCTCATAGTGCAGTAGCAGTAGCAGTTTCTCGTGAAGATGTAGTAGCTGTTGCAGTTTTGGTGTTGTAGCTGCAGCAGTTGCAGTTTCTCTAGCAGATGAAGTTGCAGTAGCAGTAACTTTTGCACGATCATATGACGCTGCTGTTGCAGTTGCTTAAGCAGTTTTTTAGCAGGAGTGGCAACAGTGGAAGTTCTCTTTGCAGTAGCATGCACAGATACAGCTGCAGTTACTCTTATAGTTTAGTTGCAGTGGCAATTGCAGTAGCAGTAGGCGTGGAAGTTGCATTTGCATATTTAGTTGCAGTGACAGTAACAGTTGCAATTGGAGTAGCAGTAGCAGTTACAGTTACACGTTAAGAGGCACTTGCCGTTGCAGTTTAAATTGCAGTAGCAATAGCAAAGGCTTGTACTATTGCTTGTTTAGTTGCAGCTGTAGTTGCAATTGCATTTGCTATTGTATGTTCAGTTGCAGTGGCTTTTTTAGTTGCAGATTTAGTATCTTGTTTAGTTTTATTTGCCGTTTTTTTGCAGTCTAAGTTACAGGCTTATAAGCAGTTGCAGTGGCAGTTGCAGTAACTAGCAAAAATATATTTGCAGTGGCAGTGACAGTAGCACGTGCAGAAGCAGTTGCAGTAGCAGTAGCTTTTACAGTTGTAGTAGCATGTACATTTCAAGTTTTAGTATCATGTCCAATTTAATGACAGATAAACTTGCAATGCCGTAACAGTTAAACGTGCAGATGCAATTCGAGTTGCAGTTGCAATCGTAGAAGTATGCGCAGATACTGTTGCTGTTGCAGATGCAGTTAGAGTTTTAATTGCAGTAGCATGCGCAGATGTTTTTGGAGTTGCAGAGTCAGTAGCACGTGCAGAAGCAGTTGCAGTAGCAGTAGCTAGTATAGTTGTAGTAGCATGCGTAGAAGCAGTTGCAGCTGCAGTTGCAGTTACATTTTCACGTGCAGTATTATGCGCAAATACAGTTGCTCGTGCAGATGCAGTGGCAGTTTCAGTTGCAGTGGCTCAGACAGATGCAATTGCAATTGCAGTTGCTTGCAGATGCATTTGCATTTGCTGTTTATATTGCTGTAGCAGTAGCAGTTGCTGTTGCAGTGGCCCGATCAGTGGCAGTTGCAGTTACAGATTCATGTGCTGATTTATCTGCAGTTGCAGATTAAATTGCAGTAGCAGTAGCAGTTACAGTTGCAGTAGCAGAAGCAGTTGAATTTGCAGGTATAGCAGCATTACTAGTTAAAATTGCTGCTTTAGAAGCAGTTGCTGTTGCAGTAAGAGTTGCATGTGCGAATGGAGTTACAGTTTTAGTTTAAGTTGCAGTAGCAGTAGCAGTAGCAGCTGCAGTTGCAGTTGCTTTTTCTGTTGCACATGCACTTGCAGTTGCAGTTATAATTGCAGTTGCAGTAGCAGTTGCAGTAGCATGCGCAGATAAAGGTTCAACTGCTGTTTAAGTTGCAGTTGCAGTAGCATGTTCAGTTTTAGTTGAAATTGCACTTGCTTCAGCAGATGCAATTGTAGTGGCAGCAACACTTGCCAGTGTAAGAGCAGTTGCAGTTGCTTTAGCAGTTTAAAGTGCCGATGTAAAAGCAGTAGCAGTTGCAGTTTTAGTAAAACTTGCACGTGCAAATGCATTTGCTGCTGCAGTTGCAGTTGCATTAGCAGTTAAAGTTGCAGGTTTAGTAGCAGTGGCAGTTACGGTTTTAGTAGCCTGCAAAGATAAAGTTGCAGTTGCATTTGCATGTTTAGTTGCAGATGCAGATGCAATTGCTGATGCATGTGCAGTTAACGTTGCAATTCAGTTGCATGGTCAGTTACAGTTTGGTTGCATTTGCAGTTGCAATTGCAGTAGCATGTGCGTTTGCATTAAAAGTTGCAGTAACAGTTGCAGTTCTAGTTAAAAAAGCTGATAAAGTTGCAGTGGCAGTGGCAATTACAGTTGCATATGCAGGTGCAGTTGTAGTTGCAATTGCAGTTGTAATTGCAGTTTCATGTCTAGTTGCAATTTTAGTTGAATGTGTAGTTGCATGTGCAGTTGTAGTTTTAGTTACGTTTTTATGTGTAGATAACTATGAGAAGACAAATGGTTTAAAAAAAATGCAGTTCTAGTTGCAGTAACATTTGCATAAGCAGTTGCAGTTGTATTTGCTGTTGCAGTTGCATCTACTTTTGCAGTTTCATTTGCCTTTGCATCTTTAGTTGCAGTTTCTTATTTTCTTGGAGTAGCAATTGCAGTTGCATGTGCAGTGGCTTGTTTAGTTGCATTTGCAGTTTCAGCTGCGTTTGCAGTAGCAGTTGCAGTTATATTGGCACGTGCATGTGCACTATTAGATTCATAAGCAGTTACAGTTGCAGTAGAATTTGCATTGGCAGTTGCAATAGCATGTGTTGTTGCAGTTGCAAATAATCTTGTAGTTGCATGTGCAGGTGCACTAGCAATTGCAGTTGTATTTGCAGTTGCAGTTTTATGTGCTCTTGCAGTTGCAGCTTTAGTTAAATGAGCAGTTGCAATTGCAGTTGTATTTAATGTAGCAGTTGCAGTTTTAGTTGCATTTGCAGTAACAGGTTTAGTTGCAGTTAAAGTTTCAGTTGCGTTTGCAGTTGCAGTTGCAGTAAAAGTAGCATGCAGAGTTGCAGTATCAGTGGCATGCGCAGCTACAGATGCAAATGCTGTTGAATGTGCAGTTGCATTTGCATTGCAGTTGCAGGTTTAGTTGCCGTTACAGTTTTTGCTGCGTTTGCAGTTGCAGTTGTAGTTATAAAGGCATGTTTCTCTGCAGTTTAAGTTGCATCAGCAGTTGCATTTGCAGTGAAAGTTTTGGTGACAAATGTTAAGACATGTCTGGTTGCAGTTTTAGGTAAATGTGCAGTGGCAGCTGCAGTTGCATGTGCAGTAGCTTTATTTCTTTATTATGATTTCTTTTTTATGCTTAATACTATTGCAATCGGCAAGATTTGCTATAGTGGCAAAATCTACTGCTGAATACAATGTTCTACAGATTTGTGCTTGGTGTTAGAGCTAATAGTAAGGTCAATCTATAAGTTCCTTGGTTCGTCTGTAAACTGTCAGTTGCTAAATCAATAAGCTGTTCCATTTGTTCTTGATGCTACTGCTAGGTCTATAAAGCTACTGCTATGTGCTATGTGCTATGCATTTTGTGCTATGTGCTACTTCTAGATATTAGTTTGTAGGTGCAAGGTTCAAGATATTACTGTAAAGTGCATAGGGTTACTGCTTTGGGTTTGGTGCTGTTGCTTTTTGCTTAATGCTACTGGTAGATACTATGTTTTATTGCTAGTTACTATGTGCTACTGCAGATGTGAACTATTTTGTGTTAAGTTCTTTTGAAATGTTCTACTGCTATATTGTACGTTCTAAATGTTAGGTGTTACTGCTACAGTTATTGGATAGGAGCTACTGCTTGGTGTTTGCTCTTGGCTCAATGCAAATTTTAATGTGCTACTAGTAGGTACAAGAATTTGCTAATATATGCTAGATACTTTTTAAATGTTCATGGTGTTACAGTTATCTACTAAATACAATTGCAATCTACAAGGTACTACTGCTATGTTCATAGGGCTACTGCTATGTGCTATGTGCTATGCGCTATGTTCTATGTGCTACTGCTATATATTAGTGTCTAGGTACTAGGATCTAGATGTTACTGCTATTCATTAGCTCTTTTAGCAAGGTGCAAAGTAGTTATGCTATGTGCTATGTGCTATGCGCTATGT